TAGCGACGAGAGCCTGCGCCAATTCTCCCTCCGTTGTGACGATGAAGTCTAGGTCCCCGAAGCGCACGTGCACGCCCGAGACCCAGCTGACACCGTGACTAGCCATCCGAGACCTGAAGTGGACGTCAAGACGCGCAAAAGGCCCCTACATGGCACGCCAACTATCGGTGTTTCGAGTTGCCACCAAGAAGTAAATTTCTAGTATTATGTGTCTGGCTCAGATGGTGTGCTTAGAGGACACGAGCTTTATACTGGTTCGGGCAGAATGTTCCTATGTCTAGTTCGTCGCTGCTGCTCGTGTTACTAGCACTGAAAGTTTGCAGTAGGGGTTACAAACGGGTGAGAGAGGGATAGATCACAAGTCTCTGATGGAAGGAATGAACGGGTGCCGAGAGCTTGGTTGCTACTGACCGTGTGCTTCTGTTGTGTTCCGATCGGTTCGAGGTTCGATGGGTTCATGACGGTTCGATCGGGTCTGGCCTCGGTCGATCGGTCCTCCATATGGGATGCCGTGCTTTCCCTTTTATAGGCCAAGGGAAAGCACGGGTTACAGCGAAGGAAAAGAGAAGAACGAGAGAGAGAGAGGAGTTCTTCCAGGATTGTCGGATCCTTCTTCTCCTTCATGCGGGTCCTGCCGACCCTATAGATGTCAACAGGGACAGCTCCACATCACGACCCTATCCGTCACTAGTGCCATGCGCAGGCATCGTCTACTGGTCATGGCGTTCCATTCCATCGTGGTGGGTGTCGTGGTGAGCTGACACGCGTGTCGTGGTGAGCTGACACTCGTGTCAGCACTCATACGGGGGTTAGGCAGTATAGCACCGGTACGCCCGACACTGTTTCTGATGTGAATCCTTAGGTATGGCCCGTCATGGCCACTGGTTACATCAGGGCATGCCGGTCTCTTCCTTGGTGTCAGAGCTTTGACCCAGGCCCATACGCTTGGACCTGGAGTGGTTGGCGGCGGTATGGGTCTCCATCGGGCGAGGCGGAGCTTGCAGCCTCGGGGTCGGGTGAGGCGAAGTCCGCGGCCACGGGGTCAGGCAAGGCAGAGCCCATGACCTCGGGGTCAGGCGAGGCGGAGCCGCGGCCTCAGGGTCGGGCGAGGCAAAGCCCTCCCCTAGAGGCCGGGCGAGGCGGAGCGTAAGCCCAAGGGTCAGGCGAGGCGGAGCCCATGGCCTCGGGGTCGGGCGAGGTGGAGCCCTCCCCCAGAGGTCAGGCGAGGCGGAGCGCAAACCCAAGGGTCGGGCGAGGCGGAGCCCGCGGCCTTGGGGTCGGGCGAGGCGGAACGCAAACCCAAGGGTCGGGCGAGGCGGAGCCCGTGGCCTTGGGGTCGGGCGAGGCGGAACACAAACCCAAGGGTTAGGCGAGGCGGAGCCCGCGGCCTCGTGGTCGGGCCAGGCGGAGCCCTCCCCTAGAGGTCAGGCGAGGCGGAGCGCAAACCCAAGGGTCGGGTGAGGTGGAGCCCTCCCCCTAAGGCCGGGCGAGGCGGAGCTTGCGCGCCTGGGGGTCGGTTGGAGCTGTAGTTGCGCTCTTGACTGCTCGGATGACTCAATGTTGATGGTCATTAGCTCCTCCTCTTAGGGTACCCTAGTATTGGTCCCCGACAATGCTAATGATTCTTGGTGAACTATTGTTTTTTTCATATATGTGCATATCAAACCCATGCAAATTTGCACTGGACCTACATAAAAGGGTAATGAATATGTTGTAAGTGACCTTTACCCAGTTGTGTCCTATAGCATAGACTGAATTGTTCTGAAGATTATAAGAACTTGAAAGTTTATCTTTTTAATACCTTTCTAGTTGTTAGGTTATTACTAGTGTGTTTTATATAGGAACAAATACATTTTTTTCCTATAGGGTTTTCTGCAGCTTATATATATATATATATATATATATATATATATATATATATATATATATATATATATATATATATATATATATATATATATATATATTAGTTAGCTACAGACATTTGTTCCTGATGTATTTGTATTGATTCTAATAAATAAGAAGCACAATCCTATTTGTTCCCGATGTATAGTAATTAGCTGTAGACGACATTTGTTCTTGATATACATGGAGTTTCGTTCATGTCTTTCTATATATTGTTACAACAAAAGCTGCCACAACAAGTCCAGGTTAGTTGATAGGGTGACACACTGTTAATAATTGTTGATACTTTATTTAGTTATCTTTTGGTACAGGGATATTTTACAAGTTCAAGATACTCATAAGAATGTAGATATATAGAGCTCAAAGCTGCATTATCTCGGCAAGAATCCCAACAATAGGTGGAATGTTTACAATTCAATAACTAATATAGTCCTTACCATTTGGTGAAAAATAGACTGTGATATCTATAATAGACTTTTTTATTGGATTGAATACTCATTGCACACTTATTGATTATTAGAATGTTGTATTGGTTGTTTGTTATTTTGCTACTAGACAGGGTCTGATATATAAGATTGTGGCGTCATGATTTTTGTATATTTTGTTTTTGCAATTTCTCATCAAAAGACGCGTATATCCAAATGAGACAAAGAAAACACAAACACACACTTTGCCTTTTCTTTTCTAATAATATGAAGCCAACCCAACTTTTATGTACAGATATGCTTAACGGTTGCATTGGCTGATGTATTCATGCATAGGTCGGACCTGTAAGTTCACCTTGGTACAAGTTTTTTTTTTTACAGATATAAAAATAATAAATCAAGCCTTGTTGAACAAACACAGCATGCATGGGAGGGCCACAAACTTGCTTCAAATGGCCTGGCCAAGGACGACCGACCTCATTTGGTGCCTACTCACACCCTGTATGACCGACCTCATTTGGTGCCTACTCACACGCTGTATGTGACGATTTTCCATCAAGGACCCGTGTTTGTTTAATACACTTCACTGATGTCATAACATCAGTGACACATTTTTATGCGCCTTTTATGCGCCAATAGACATAAATTTCAGACACATTTTTCCAGTTTCTCTGATTGACTATTTATCCACTTCTCTAATTCGTGTGGTTTTGACATATAGGCCCCGTTCGCTGGTCTGAATTTTGACTGAAACTGGCTGAAAAACATTGTTCCGGCTGAATTGTTGTGAGAGAAAAACACTGTTCCAGCTGAAAAAACAAGCCGAACAAGCCAAACTTTAAGACAAGCTAACGGGGCCATAGTGTACTAAAGTGTTACCCATTCTTCGTGAAGTGTCATGCTGTCAGTATTCTCCAAAACATTTTCCTAAAGTATACAGTATCATTTCCCTCAATGATTTATTAATTATGGGAGTAACTATTTTCAGTAGTATATAAAATGCAATATATATATATATATATATATATATATACACACACACACATGGTTTTCTACCGGAAACTCGTAGGTTTTTCATCGATCCATCGAAAGTCGAAAGCACATGTACGTGAGTCATATGCTGTTGCATTCTTGCACTCTTGCAGTCTTGCTATACGCGTATGGGTACGTCTGTACGTACATGCGTTTTCCATATGTTCATATAAAATCTCCGCAGTCTGCATGTTCTATACATAGGACACTAGAGACATTTATTCACTATGTACGTAGTATATATATACTACGCCACCTGGCCAGCTAGTTTACACATGAAGGGGTTATTCTAGCTAGGAAGCGATCGAGCGGCGGCGCGCGCGCATCCTAGTTGTTCACCTGCTGTGGGACCTCGTCGGGGGTCGCGCAGCAGCGCTCGCATCCGTGGCGTCCGTAGTAGCAGCAGCGGTACCCGCCGCCGCCCCCCCCGCCCCCGCCCCCGCCGTGCCAGTCGTTCACGCCGGCGCCGTTGGTCGCCTTCTCGTTGTTCTCATCTGCATGGTATATACAGAGCATGTACAGCAGTCTACCACGCACTCACGGCTTTGCCTGGCCGCCACGGCGTTGATCTCAATTCTTAAGTTCCTGATGACTGATGATGTGGGCAGGGGCGGACGACTCTGCAGGCTCCTGCGTCACCCGGCTGCAGGGCTGGCCGCTGTTCGGTGATTCGGATTCAGGGTAGGCACGCACCCGGCTGGCCGGCTCATGCATGTCGGCAATGCGGTGCCGCCGGTGCGTACGTCAGCTGCTGCAGCTGCGACGTACGCCCTGTTCGCGGGATCATATCAGCCATACTTATCAGTCATGATATAGTATTTTTCTCTCACAATAAAACAGCATCAGCCGGTTAATAAGTCACAGAAACGATCAAGCGAACATGCTGTCGGTAGGCAGGCATATAAGAGCAAGGTCAATAATAGAGCCAGTGCTTAGCTATAAGTCAAGTTATAGGAGACAAGTCATATAATAGTTGTCTCTCATTTAGCTATAAATTTTTTTTTATTATTGTTATGTGATACCATGTCTTACTTTCTCTTTCCTACTTCTCCTCATGTACACTATTGTTTGGGCCCACAGATATCTATGCTTCGTGTCTAGCTTGGTGCTAGAATAAGAGCCAAACTCTCTTCTTTCCTCCATGTCAGCAAAAATACTGATTAGCTTGTCTATAAGCCGCCTATTACTGTACTCGCTCTAAGGATGTCCCAACAAGGTTTTAAATAGCTAGAGAGAAGGATTGTTTTTATTATTTACAGGAGAGAGTGCATGAAACAAACTCGCTAGCGCCAGGCTCGCAAAGTTCCCCGTACGACCTGTGTCTACCTCTCTCCTCTTTGCATGTTGTGCATGTTGCTGCTTCTTTTTTTTTATTCAATCTTGTTTGCATGTTGCTAGCGATTTGAAGCAGTCTGTTGCGGCCGCCCTAAGAAACCAAGCTTCGAGGAAAAGACGGGCGGGCAGCACCATCAATATTTATTATTTCTATACAAATATATCAAAATCGTTCTCAGAACAATCCAAGCCCTGCAGTGAAGTTTAACAGACCGGCAATTCTCACGCCTTGTACCGAGCAAAACTCAAGCAACAGGAAGGAACTCTCGTCTGTAAGAAATCAAGGGCCAGTTGCCCAGCTCTCTATTCGCCGGGCTGCAGCCTCGATATGTACTTGTCATATATCTTCGCCGCTCGCTCCAGATCGCCCAGCTCGGTGTAGCAGTCAGCTATGGCACCGTAGGCCTCGGTGCAGCCAGAATCTTCACCCGTCTCCTTAGACAGCTCCAGAACCTTGGTGTACTGCCTCATTGCTTCTCGGTACTTTCCGAGCCTTTGCAGTGATGCACCTAGACAAAAGCCAAATAGCGAGTGAGGAAATTCCCAGGTTACAGATCGACTTCATGAGAAACTGCGTACTGAAGCTTGGTGTCTGCCTGTGAAGTGACTGAAGCTTAAAACTAGTAGAATTCTTTTATATGGGGATGATAAAGAAGGTTGACAAAAATCGTCCATGGAAATAAAGATTAAAGCACCACTATAAACCAATACAACAAGAACAAATTACATAAGTTTGTTCATTGGAGACAACTCAACCATAGGTTTGAAACATAATTAAAGACATCTTATGCTAAGAACTAATGCAGTCATTTCAGTCAGTTGATATAACGTCTATTACTAGTTCACAACAGAATTTGCTTCAAGTAATCTCTGGCATGTAAATAAATCTCCAAAGTTACAGACTAAGCACACATGCAGATAAAAATCTACAGTATGTATCTTTGGTATGTAGCTATCTGAAGACTCAACAATCCATTGCGATTTGCGACGCTTTGCATCTGCTGTGTATTTAATTTTAGAAATGGGAACTACAAAGAAGGTTGACAAAATATTTTGTTTCTGGAAAAAGCATTAAACACCAGTATAAACTAAAGCAGCCTCAACAAACTACATAACTTTGTTCGTTGGAGGCAACTAAACAAGAAGTTTGAAACCTCCCAAAAAAAAGACCAAGAAGTTTGAAAGACATTAAATTCATTGTTAAAAACTGAAGTCACCTTAAGCCGAGCAATAGCTTTCCAGTTCATATAAACTGTGCTACTAGTTCACATTAAAATTTGTTTCAACTTATTTCAGATATGCAAATCTCCAATTAGAGAGCAAGGATACAGGCAAACAAGTATTCAGTAAGAAGCTAGATAAGATCTTCGGTATCCGCCTAACTGCAAAATCTACCATCTAATGGGATTTGCAAAAGCTACTTCAAAATTTTACTTGAAGATATTCACTTGGCAATCATTCTCCTAGAAAGTTTGCAAAATAAATCTTTGCTTACAATAAATAAAGGAATTATTCAAAATTCAAAATGGAACAACAGTCATCTCATGCAGGAGCAACTGAAACACAAGGACAGCAAGAAAATGCAACCTAGGTGAAACAACACCAAACATTTCAGTCACTTTCAGTTTTTATATACAAATATCCACTACTTAGCTAATTCTTGGTGACAAAGTTAGGACAGCAGCGCTAGTTCTCCATCAGTCAACTACATTGTGATGATTAATATTATGTAGATTGACCATTTCTATGAGAGCTAGGAAAGCATATATGCATTTTTAAGAACAGCACAGGTTATATTGTTTATGCACTGTTCATCCACTATGATAACAAAAATATAAATAACAGTGATTATCAGGGAGAAAAGAACCTAGTCCTCGTGCAGCTTTCTTTTCTTCAAAACGATCTCCTATGCTCTCTGCAAGCTCCAGAGCTGTTCTGAACTCCACTATAGCCTTATCAAGATCTTGATTCCTCATGTAATTCTTCCCATTTCTCAGATTTGTGACCAACTGCTGCTTCCTTGGGTCAACAATAACATCAGTTTCATTTGTTCTCCCAACTGGCGCATAAGTAAGGCCAGGCGCAAATGATTCAATTTGTGCCTGCCTTCTAAGTGCTGCATTGATCTGGCGAAGTTGATTATTGAGCTGCTTCAATTCCGCCTTTCTTTGGCGTGCTAACAATCCTACATGTGAAAAATCAGAGAGAGAAAAATATTAGTGACTTAAGTAACATCCATCTCCATGAACTTTGCATGCAAGAAGCAATGACACAAACGAGCACACATGTTCAGATGTCTTACCGCCAACAGCTGCTCCTATTAGAGCTACAGCAATGAAAATTGGCATATTGGCGAAAGAATTAGGTGGTTGGCAAGTCTCCGCTGACGCCTCAAGAGGTACAGCAAGTAATGTCATGGTTGAAAGTACAGCAGCTTTCAGAAGGTTGGGACATGACATTTTCTGCAGTGGCAAATTTCAAGTGCAGAGATAATGCCGGGTCAACATCCACACTGCAATACAACTGAATGGAGAGCAGAACAGCATATCAAAGCAAAGGCAAGCAAGAATACGCTCCACTAGTGAAATGTAAATTCCTTAAACTGCTCAAAGTTTTGTAAATGTACGCAAAATTATGTAGATTGTGCTCACTGTGCCCTAAACCGACGCATTGAACTCTGCAACAAGCCTCTTTCTTCACGATGAGCAGAAATTCTGCTCACTTCAGAGTTCAGATGCAACTATGTAAGCCCATATTTCTGCCTGGTTGTAATTCACAAACTAGTTGCAGGTGTTAGTTGATCTCCACCAATAGGCCCAACGGCCTAGTGGACCCTTATCTCTGCGTCCTGATCGGGGGCGTCCAACCCTAACTGGTTGGTGGGCCCCTGTTGCACAGCACATATATATAGAGGAGTGGGGAACTGGGCTCAGCTCACGAGGTTCGCCGTGAGCCGCCACACCCATCTACAGTAACCCTAAACCGATCTAAAGACCGTGCTGCCAGCGACGGGATGTGCCCCAACCACCGCTGTCGCACCTCTGCAGGGCCACCACCGGACCACGGCAGTACCACTACGGACTCCATCGAGCCGGAGCTGCCGCGGCAATGGCGTCTACCCGCTGTGGTGCATCTACGGAGAAGACAAGGATGAGGTCTTCCCTGGATCTACCGGTTACACACATAGAGGTACTAATCATCGATCCTATCAATGGTATCAGAGCCGGTTGCCTCTGTGTAATCCTAACCCTAACCGGGTAAAAGCAAATAAAAGGGACCGGGGGTGGCGGATGTCACTGGAACCCGGTCACCACCGCCACCGCACGGGGGAAAAGAACAGATCCATTCAGAACAGAGAAGAGATAGGGCCCTCGGCTCACGAAGCCGAACCCTAACCCAAGAACAGAACAGATCTAATTCGGATTTGGCCGAACCCTAAGACCTAACCCTAACTCGCATGGAGAAAGGGAAAAAGGAGAAAGCCATTCGGATGAACTCCAAAGGGAACAACCGAATCGGTCGAATCAAAAGAAAGAAAAGGAACCCCAGACCCAAACCCTAATTCCCCACATCAGTTCGGATAAGAGAAAAGTAGATCCAAATCAGAGTAGGGGAAAGGGGAAGAAAGGGAAGGGAACCGATTCGGATGGTAGATCCAAAGACAAATCAGAGAAGGGGAAAAGGGGAGGGTCGGATTCCGAACACTAGATCTAAATCCTTGTTCGCATAAGAGAAAAGCAGACCCAAATCCGAAGAGGGGAAAGGGGATAATCTTGGAGAACTCGAATCAAACAAAAAAAACACGAATCGGGTTCAACCGAACCCTAACCCTAGATCCCCTTTTCGGGTGAACGAGTGAAAAGAAAAGAAAGAAGATAGAAATCGAATCCGAAGGGAGAAGAAAGTCTACCTCGCCGCGTGTCGGATGTCCCTTCGCCGACGCGGGAGAAGAAGCCGAGCCGGGGAGCTGGCTCTCGGGCTCTCGACAAAGCGCCATGCTGCGGGCCGCTTCGGCGGCGGCATGCTCACCCGTTAGAGCACGCGCGGCAGGCGGCGTGAAGGGGCGGCGACGGCGCCATGGTCGCTTTCGCTCTCGCTTTCGGTATCCTCTCGGTGGGCTGGTGCTGGCTGAGAGAGAAGAGAGCGGCGTGACGGAGAAGAGGAAAGAGCCGAATGACTCTAGGGTTTGGAGGGCGCGGCCGCGGGCGGGGTTTTGTTCTCCCTATCCGCGCGCGCGACCGTCCGATCAGAACGAACGGCGCAGATCAACCGGCCGCCTTTGGGCCCAGGCGGGCGAGGGCGTGAGGCCACTTCCGGCCTGAGCCTGAGGTTGCGGCTGGCGGGTGTGTGCAAGGAAGAAGGCGCTTGCGGGTGTGGGTCGGGTGGGCGTTTGAGCCAAAACAAGAAAGAGCAAGAGCCCAGTTTCGTTTTTTATTTTTTCTGGGAAATTGAATATGCAAATTAGCTCAAAAGAAAAAAGTAATTTTTCCCTGTGGGTAAAATTCAAGAAATTGAGTAAGTACATTCTCCAGTGATTTTGAACAGACGTGATATTTAACTGGAGAAAAGGAAAGTTTTCCCAGTAAATGTTTATTTCCTGGAAATTGATTAATGGATTAAAGGAAATAGAAAAAGTAATTTTCCCCTTGGGTAAAATTCAAGGAAAAGAGAGTTTTTCCACAGCCAAAGAAATTTTTTATTCTCCAGTTAATTTGTACCAACGTGATATTTAATTGGAGAAAAAAAAAGTTTTTCCGCTGCTAAAGAAATTGTTGATTCTCTAGTTATTTTGAACCAATGTGGTATTTAATTGGAGAAAAAGAGTTTTGATATGATTATGATGTTGTTATTTTCTGACCAACGTTGTTAATAACAATATCGTAATTTTAATGATTTATGCATTGATTCTACTTCTACCCAACGGTGATGTAGAATTAGTGTATAAGAAAAGTTGATAATGTTAATGATTTATGCATTATTTCTACTTCTGCCCAACGGTGATGTAGAATTAGTGTATAAGAAAAGTTGATAATGTTAATGATTTATGCATTAATTCTATTTCTGTCCAACGATGATGTAGAATTAGTGTATAAGAATAATTGTATGTTTTGATTTTGACCAACGTTGGAATCAAGGCATGCAAATGGTGTTATTTTTATGTTAAGAAAAGTTTTGACCTGGTTTTCATCTTGTCTAAGGTGGACTGGGTAGTGACCTCACCGTGTTCCACTGAGTTTGTGGCACCGGTGAGGGAGACAAAAGAGAATGATGTCACTTGGGTAACTAAAGAGAGGGATTTTGAATCCAAAAAATATCCTATGACTCCTTGGACATAGGAAATGAATCACTACCAACAAGAAAAAGTTTGGTTATGATAAAGAACATGATTGAGCTTGCAATTGTGGGCTCAATCTCAGAGTGTGACATGGTCACCGAGTACCTCGATAGAATAAAGAGTCAGTTCACTGGCTCTTCAAAGACATGTGCTATCCAGCTGATAAAGCAGCTAGTGACAGATAGTCACTCTGATAATTGTGGCATAAGAGAGCTCACAATGCGTCGTCGAAATCATGGCACTATCGTTCATGCCATATTTCGAGGGGGAGAATAGAAAGACTAGTTAAGAATGATATTCTTTCTCAATTAGAGCTTTCAGAATGCATAAAAGGAAAGTATGTAAAGAAAAATGACAAACGAAGCGCAGAAATTTTACAGATTATTCATACAGACATCTGTGGTCAACTTTTATGTAAAGAGTGTGGATGGTTACGATTCGTTCATGACATTCACAAATGATTACTCCCATTATGGCTATATTTATCCAATCAAAGAAAGAAAAGATGTATTGGATAAATTTAAGATATTAAAGATTAAGATAGTCAGGTCTGACCGGTGGGGAGTACTACGGTCGACATACCTTAAAAGAATGGCATAGTAGCCCAATATTCTACACCGGACGAATCTCAGCAGAATAGAGTAGCTAAAAGAATCAATCACACCCTGATGGATATAGTGGGCAGTATGATAAGTTACTCCACCTTACAGTTGAGCCTGTGAATGGAGGCGTTGAAAACGGCCATTCATATTCTCAATAAAGTATCAAGAAAGTCGGTGCCCAAAACACCGTATGAGTTGTGGACAGAAAGAGTACGCTCACTAAACCACTTGCGTGTGTGTGGGGGAGCCCTGCTGAGGCTAAATTATTTAAATCCAAACATTGGGAAGCTAGTTCCCAAAACAGTAAGTTCCCATTTCATTGGCTACAAAGAAAAGTCAAAAGGTTTTCGTTTCTACTATCCAAAGTGACATACAAAGTTTGTGGAAACGAGATACGCTGTTTTCCTAGAGGATGAAAAGATGAGGGGGAGCATGGTAGCTCGAGAAATTGACCTTGAAGTGAAGCGGGTGTATGCGCCCACTCCAATAATTCATGAGCCAATTTTCTCACTACATGCTGTCGCTGCACCGACAGTTCAAGATACTATGGTGTCAGCACCTGTTGTTATTCCACCTGTGGCAACAATGAATGAAAATGATAAATCTGTTCTTCAGGATCCTATAGAACCTATTGCCACACATGAGGGGAGCGACAACAGCCTCAAACAGAAGATGTGTCAAATGTGGAGGCCCCTAAAAGGTCTGAAAGAGTTAGTAAATCAGTTATTCCTGCTGATTATGAAGTGTACAACACTAAGAAATTTCAAATGGAGGATGATCCCACCTCATTTGAAGAAACCATGAGAAGTGATCATTCATCAAAGTGGCTTGAGGCCATGGAAAATGAAATGAAATCAATGAATGCCAATAAAGTTTGGAACTTGAAAATAATTACTAAAGGAGCCAAAAAAATAGGTTGTAAATGGGTCTACAGAACAAAACTTGGCTCTCAAGGGAATATAGAGAAATATAAAGCGCGACTTGTGGCAAAAGGCTTTATGCAAAGAGAAGGGATTAATTACGATGAGACCTTTTCTCCAGTCTCATGTAAAGTTTTCCTTCAGAATCATAATAGCATTAGTGGCACATTATGATTTAGAATTACATCAGATGGATGTAAAGACGACATTTCTCAACGGAGACTTGAAGGAAAATGTTTACATGGCACAACCGAAAGGTTTTGTCATGAAAGAAAAAGAACGAATGGGATGCCGCCTAAAGAAATCCATTTATGGATTAAAGCAAGCTTCAAGACAGTGGTACTTGAAGTTTGATCAGTCAATAAAGAATTTTGGGTTTTAAAAAGAATATAGAGGACAATTGTGTCTATACAAAGTTTAAAAATGAGAAGTTTATCTTCCTTGTCCTGTATGTGGATGATATCTTACTTGCTGGTAATGATGTCAGTCTACAACTGGAGACAAATAAGTTTTGTCCTCAAAACTTGATATGAAAGATCTTGGCGAAACCTCGTTCGTTCTAGGGATCGAGATTCACCGAGATAGAAGAAAAAAGGGTATAAGGACTGTCACAAAAGGCATACATGGAAAAGAACTTAAAGAAATTCAGTATGCACAAATATAGTCCCTTACCTGCTCCTATAGTCAAGGGCGACAGATATGGGGATTTTCAATGCCCCAGAAACCAATATGAGCTCAATTGATAAAGTGAAAGTGGTTTCATATGCTTCAGCTGTCGGAAGCTTGCAACATGCTCAAGTATGTACGCGCTCTGACTTGGCATTTGTTACCGGGTTTTACTTGGCAGATTCCAGAGCAATTCTGGAATAGAACACTGAAATTAGTAAAGAAAGTCTTGCATTATTTGCAAGGAACGAAAGGCCTCATGATGACATATAGAAGATCTGATTCACTCCACATGGTGGGATATTCAGATTCTGATTATGCGAGAGTGAATGCATATCCAGACGTGGATTTTCTATCATCTCGCAAAGGGGAGCTATTTCATGGAAAAGCTCAAAGCAAACTGTCACTATATCGTCCACAATGTATGACAGTTTGTAGCGGGTTATGAGGCAACGGGCAGGTGAACTGACTAAAGAAGTTTATACCCGGTTTGAAGGTGGTTGACAACATCTATAGACCACTTAAAGTTATACTGCGATTATAATCTGGCAGTACAGTATGCTCACAACATAAGTCAAGTGGTGCTACCAAACACATTGACATAGAGTATTATGTTGTGAAAGATAAAGTCCGGGATCAAGTCATAAGTCTTGAGCATATAAGTACAGAAAAGATACTCGCGGATCCACTTATAAAAGGCTTACCACCCAACGTGTTCAGAGAATATGGTGTTCAGAGAACATATAGCTAGCATGAGTTTAAGAGAAAGCCTATAAAATTCCTGGACAAAAGAAGACCCAAAGATAAGTATCTATTTCAGAACCGAGTAGTGTGTTGTAGCTGTTAAGTCTATCGGCAATGGACCGTGACGATGAGACATGCTCTATGCGCTAATCTGTAATGGAATGAACAAAAGTAAATGATATGAAATTAAAAGATGGAATGAGATCAAAGGGGAGAATGTTAGTTGATCTCCACCAATAGGCCTGGGCCCTTATCTTTACGCCCTGATCGGGGGCGTCCAACCCTAACTGGTTGGTGAGTCCCTGTCGCACAGCACATATATAGAGAGGAGTGGAGAACTGGGCTCAGCTCACGAGGTTCGCCGTGAGCCGCCACACCCACCTACAGTAACCCTAAACCGATCTAAAGATCGTGCTGCCAGCGACGGGATGTGCCCCAACCACCGCCGTCGCACCTCTGCAGGGCCACCACCGGACCACGGCAGTACCACTACAGACTCCACCGAGCCGGAGCTGCCGCGGCAATGGCGTCTACCCGTTGTGGTGCATCTACGGAGAAGACAAGGATGAGGTCTTCCCTGATCTACCGGTTACACACACCATCGATCCTATCAGCAGGTGGTGGGCAAAAGGATCACACAAACTGCCGAGGAACAACCAAAATACAAGTACCTCGGATTGAATGCGCTATCTAATGTACGACTCTACGTATACCATAGCCATAGCCACATCAACAGGGTATTCAGTTGCAATGTCAGTGTGTCGCCTCGAAGACTCAGTGCTCCATATGGGCTTATGCATTGCCACTGTACACCCACATCACGTGAAATTTAAAGTAGTTGGTTCACAGTTCGATCAATTCAACTCTCATTGCAGCAATCGAACGCACCTCATGATCGATAAGCATTCTCCGGAGAGCGTGCGGCAGCCGCGGCGCCTCCGCATCCATGGCTTCGAGGTGCGCAAAACCGCCGCTGCCATGGGTCCGTGGCTGGGGCAGGGAGCCGACGCGCAGTGGCGCCGCCGCCGCGCCTTCTACTCGCATCAACACGGAGCGCGAATCAATCGAAGCAGCAAAGGTAAGACCACAACTTGGGGCCTCGGGGGTTTAGCGGCTTACCAGAGAAGAGGAGGGCCCGGCCGGGGAGATGGAAGCCACAACGAAAGCGCGAGAGTGACGGGGAGCCAACGTTGGCGCCGCGGTGGCCGACTGTCGCCTGCATCACCGCCGGTTGGCTCGGGCAGCGTCGGCCTCGTTCGAGGCAGGTGGGGGAGGGAGTGGGAGTGTGGGACGCGGTCGCCTCGGCCGTCGGGTGACGGCGGTCGCGTGCGGCGTGCTACTACGTCACCGCGCGATGGTTTCGACTGGGCCTGTGGCCCTGTGGGCTACGTATGTACACGGTTTTGGTCAGCCCATGGAGATAACAGCTCAGGCCTTAGTTTTGGTAACTTTTTGTAAAGATTTTCTTGTAATAGTCATTTTTGCCATTACAGTTAGTACAGATCAACAACCCCATTTTAAAAAGGAAGTTGAGTAAAATACCATAAGACATGGACTCAAGAATTATTATTAGAATCCTGTGCAAATGCCAACTAGCATAAGTTGGAAGCATGGAAATGTCCATATGGACCGATGGATTGAGCATTTGTGTTTGCCTCTAGGAATTCGGGCCCTTGAAACATTATCAAATGAGTAACATAAGAAATTTTCACATTTCCAACTTTTATACTCGCTCCGTCCTAAATTATAAGTCGCTTAGACTTTTTAATACATCTATTCTATTATGTACTCCTATCTAGACATGTTATCTATACCTAATACTAAAGAGTCAAAATTTCTAACCTATAACCTATATTTTTTTCGTCCAACCTTCCGCTCATGTTTAACTCTCCCACGTTTTAATATCCTGTTTAGTGCCGTCCATGTCCATGTTTCTCTTTTGTTTAGTCCGGACTCCGCTCAGCTTTTGGTCTCCTCTCCGTACTGTCCTGGGACTCCACTCGATGCTGTTCAGCCTGTTCGCTTGTTGGTTTCAGCCAGCCCAAACCAGCCAGCCAACAGTGTTTTTCTCTCATAAAAAACCAGCACCAGCCAGCCCAAACCAGCACCAGCACCAACCAGCGAACAGGCCCGTTGTTCTATTCTCTGCTCGGACTGCAGGGTGGTGTTTTTTTCTCTCTTTGCCTCCGCTTGATTTTTGGTTGCTGTGCCTCCACCCGCCTCAGGTCCTTGGAGTCCATGTTTATCCGGTGACTAAAATTTAAAATTTAAGAGGTGTGTCGGAAGGATGTTACATGAGGTGTTTGGATACTAATAAAAAAATAAATTACATAATCCGTCAGTACTTTACGAGACGAATTTTTTAAGCCTAATTAATCCGTCATTAGCATATGTTTACTGTATCACCACATTATCAAATTATAGACTAATTAGACTTAAGTGTCCAAACATTTGATGAGACAGCGACTAAAATTTATGAGGGGCAACCAAACACCACCTTAGCCGCAACCAAGATCGAGCGTTGGGGGAAAAGGAAGGGTTCTAGGTGGAAAAGTGTAGGAGGGAAAGAAAAGATGAGAGGATCTAAATTAAAATCGAGAAACTCAGGGATTTCTGATGTAAAAGTGCAACCCACGTTAGGCCTCTGCTGCTGAGTTGGTATCCGCCGTGTCGGCCTTTTTCGCCAGTGGACTGGGCCGAGCCGTGGCCCAAGTGTTGGCTCCTTTTCCTTTTTTTCGTTTTTCTCTTTTTTTGGTAAAACAACAAACTTGTGAATTATGTGTAGAATCACAGAAAAATCATATCATAAAATAGCAAAAGAAGTGATCTGATGGTAATGGTTGTGAGCAAAAGAAGTGATCTCATGGTAATAGTTGTGTTAGTTTGAAATAGTATCTTTTATCTAGATGGTTTTCTTTGGTCTCTTTGCACTTCGTGTAATCTGGTGACCCCGGTATGACGTATCTATCTGATATTATCTTTCAATAAAAGCTGAGATATTTCTCGTTCAAAAAAAAATTGGTAACAACAACATTAACATGCAACGTTCATGTGATAATTAATTAATTTAAGGCGACTTATTCTCGTTGGGCACAACATAACCAAACCTCAAATTGGAGCTAAAGGACAAATATTTTTTTTGAGAAAATTAGTTAGTCTAAAGTAGTATCTTTTATCTGGATGGTTTTCTCCGGTCTCTTTGCACTTCCTCTAATCTGGTGTCCCCAGTATGATGCATCAAACTGATATTAGCTTTCAATAAAAGTTGAGATATTTCTTGTTGAAAAAAAATTGGTAACAACAACATTTTCATGCAAAGTTCACGTGAAAATTAATTTAAGGTGATTTATTTTCGTTGGGCACAACATAACCAAAACACAAATTGGAGCTAAAGGACATACTTTATTTAGAACATTAGGTCAATACTACATATATGTTGATATTTACATTATGGAGAATTTTATTTTATTCTTCCGTCGCAACGCACGGGCAAATTTCCTAATACCTAAATACATAGCAAAATTGATGTACCAAAAAAGTCAAAGCTACTTATAATTTGAAACGGAGGAAGTCTATATAATGAGGTGATGTTCCCCATCATTGTGTATACAACATGAATTCGTGAAAAGAATCATCGCCCATCATATTTTATTTTATTTACACATACACAAAAGGGGCTGCTCAAAGCACACAAGACAAACTGGACATAAGTTCTAGCTGGCACCCTAGGATATCACTATATCAGGTAACCAAATCGAACAACTAACAAAGAACACGAGCAATCTGGGAGGGTGTGATTAGCTAAGCTGAGTTCAACTTTTTCTCCAGTCGCTTTGCCGAACGAAGGGCCTCCAGGGCCTCTGCTTGTTTCCCTTCCCGCTTCAAGTTGAGCGCTTTCAGTTTCTCCGCCTTGATCTGTTCTTCAAGTTGATTTCTCTCGCTCCGAGGTTTGCTGGTCCCTGCGACAGATGACTTCGCTTCCACTTTTTGTGGAAGTTGAGAACTTGAGGACTGCATGGGTTTCAGAGGTTGTGCACTAGAAGATTGCATGGATAAATCCATGTCGCTCCAACCAATGGATCTTAGGGCAGACATGATTTGAGGATCAAGAAGATTCTCCATGATCACGTCGTTTGGTTCACTTGACTTGCCCCCAGAGCTTGAACTTTGGTTGTCTGACTCAAGTTGGCTCTCTAGCTCCTTGGCCAGTTCGAATTCTGCATCTGCTTCTGCAGTCTTTCCTTCTCTCCGTAACTTGAGGGCGTTTCGCTTGTGAGCGAGGGATTCGCGTTGGATTTTGAGACGGTCACGGCTGGACATTGCTTTCTGAGGTTGCGTCGACTTGCTCACTTGTGCAGGAGGGGCAGAAGTTTCATCGTCAGCGTGATTGCTGGAGCTAGCAGGTTGTTGGACCACACTGTTCTGTTCTACAGCAGGAGTAATGGACTCACCCACACCATCCATGCTGTCTTGTTGAGCACCTTCAAGACGCTTTTCTAAGAGTTTCGCCAGTTTCAATTCTTCTCTAGCTTCTGCCATCTTCCCTTCTCTCTTAAAGGCAACTGCTTTTCTCTTATGAAGTAATATCTCATCTTTAAGAGTATCATCTCCTTGTGTTTTCTGATGCTCATTATGATCATGTACTACAGAAGGTGAATGTGGCCCTTTTTCAGATCCCAAGGGATCAGTAAAAGCTCTACTTTCTTCTCCCACATCACCTTGTTTAGAATTGGTTGTCTCAATCTGCGGTTTGCTTGAAGAACCACACAGAGTAACCACTGACGTACCAGATTCAGATGCATGCACTGGCAATATTTCGTCCCCCTTCATTGCGTTTCTTACTGAAGATGGGTGTACAGTTGCATCAACACCAGGGACATGCTGAACATCATACTTATTTTCTGTGATCTGATGGCCAGCAGTAGTAACACTTTGACTAGCACTCAAGTTATTTGATTCTTCGATCTCTGCAAGTTGCTGCTCCAAGACCTTAGCCTTCTCCAGTTCCTCCTCAGCTTCAGTGGTTTTCCCTTCCCGTCTGAGTGCAAGAGCCTTCCTTTTTATACCAAGCAGTTCCTTCTGAAGCTGGCCCTTAGTTTTTGATGATTTATGAGGAACTACATGTGAAGAAATTGATGGTTTGTCAATTGTTTCCACAGAATCTGAACCAGCATCTTCCCATCCCATATTTTTTAGCACCGATAGCAATGCTGGATCCTGCATATCATTGTCTGTAACCTCAGGTTCATATACCTCATCAGCAAGACTGATATTTGGGGGTTCAACCTTGTACGGGGGATTAGATGGCAAGCTCCTGGTTTCCTTTGCTACAGGTAGTTTGGAGGAATTATCAAGCTCTTCAAGCTGCTTTTCAAGAATGCTACCTTTTTTCAGCTCTTCCTCAGACTCATCCACCTTCCCTTCCCTCCTCAAAGCTAGTGCCTTCTTCTTCAGAGCCAACAGTTCTCTCTGAATTGCAAGCTTACTTTTTGGCGCTGATATAGGTCGCGCATTCATCCCTGCAAAAGCGGCATCTTCTGCATGTGTAGTTTTCTGTCCTTCTGGAGAAGGGACCTTTGAGCCTGTCTCTTCAATTTCGGGATCCTTCTCAAGTAGCTTTGCCTTTTTAAGCAATGACATGGCTTCTGCAACATTACCAGACCTTCTGTTTGCAACAGCCTCTCTTTTTAGAGCAAGTACTTGCTCCTTTAGTACCTCTTGATTTGAAGAAGAAACAGGTTCATGATTTTCCAATTGTTTGTCATCCTCCTCACTCCAGCCAAATGATTTTAGGGAAGCAGCCATATCTGGGTCATTCATGTCATCATCTGTAACATCAAAGTGGCCATCAGTGGCAAGATCATTAGAGGCACCTAGAATTTGTTCAAAGTTGAAAGCAGGGAATTTTGGATCATCGATAAATATGTCATCATTCTTATTGTCGTCCATGTTCCGAATAATAGCAGCCAGATCATCATCTGAATCTTCTGCTTCACCCAGAATCTCCTGTTCCTCGAGTTGTTTTTCCAAAATTTTAGCCTTCTTGAGCTCTTCCTTTGCTTCAGCAAGCCTACCTTCCCGCTTTAGCAGTAAAGCTTGCCTCTTCAGAGCATTAACCTGAGATTTATCAACACCACCTGTTCTCTTGCCCTCCAATGGTTTGGGGGGCACCTCTCTAAGAAGCTGTGACAACTCTCCTTCCAGACTCATAGGGGCAGCCTTTGTTTCATCACGAAGGTCTGCATCTGACCAGCCTAGATCTCTGAGCTCAGAGGCAAGATCATTTTTTTCTTTCTTAATCCTTTTCCCAGTTGAAGACCTTTTTGTTTCAGCCTCATCAGAATCAGCAGTCGTCGAAGTACCAACAGCAGAAGAGACGTTAGGCGCTTTTGTAGCCATTCTCCTACTCCTCCTCAATTCTAATTCCAGCGCTGCAGCTTGCCTCTCAAGTTCTTTACCATGCTTGAAAGCCTGCAGTGCTTCCTCTGGTTTACCTTCTGACTTTAAAGTTTTGTACCTTTTCTTCTCTTCTACAGCTTGTTGGCGCAACTCCTCTGGGGTAAAAATAGATGCAGTATTGTTGAGTTCATAATTGTGTGCTTCGGCAGAAAGGCTTTCATCTCCATTTGCGTCTGCACTGAAATTAGAAGAAGTTCTTCTGGAGGTACTGGCACTGCTTGTGGTTCTCCCAGGAAGCTCAGAATCCAGAGATTGGATACGCTCTCCACCTCCAAGAATTTCACTTAGAATTTCATCCTCTGGTTTCGAAGCAGATTTTGTGGTAGCTGTAGAAATAGGTAGAAAGGATTTTTTATGTTAAAAATCTTTCTCAGATAATAAGAAACATAGATGACAACTACACAGTACATACTAAAATATCTGCATGGTAAGACCAAAAAGTTTTCTTGGTTTGATTGTGCACCATTTATCATAGATCAGTCTCATGCATGCATAACACACTATTTTATTTGAATAATTTCACTATATATGTTAGCTCCCATAGATCCTATTTTGAGATTTTTTCATGTGCAATATAATGATAGGCAAAATACTGCACGTAATATAGAAATATGAAATAGGTACACCCTTACATATGTACGAATAGATCGTTGTAAGTATATCAGATCAAAGATCAAACTTATGTCATTGCAACTGGTTAGGACGTAAGCACTTGTAGTTGTAGCTAACAAAAGGTAAACCACAGAATAAAATAATTTCCCTGAGGGATGGTGTTGTCGATCTCGATGGAGCTGAACACTGGCCCGGGGCAGAACTCGAGCAGGCCCAGCTCAGTCGCAAGGGAGTTGAAGTAGAACTTGCCAGAAAAATGATTCTCTCATCCACCTCGCGACACATCCCTGAACTTGACCCACTGCCATGGCCGCACCCTCCGTGGTTGGACAGGCGTCCTCTTCCGCCAGGAGGGGCCGCTCGTCAGAAGGAAGGAGTGCACGCCCCACCCGTCAGAGGAACAAGGGCGAGGTCATCCCTTAAGGAGAGGATTGACGCGGCTGATGCGATTGGGGAGGACGAAGTAGTTGTCGAATTCTTCGGTCAGCTATGGGCCATCAATTCCCCACCGCCGCCGCCGCCGCGCAACCCTAGGGTCCTAGCCACCGCCACTAGATCGAATCCTTCCGGTCACCTCTTCTGGATCCGGAAGGATTTGTTCGACTCGAAGGATTTCACCGCCCGGGATTGCTTCCCCGTTCGCCGATCTGATCGTTTCGATAAGCCGCCGGTGTGCTTCAGTTTTGCGAAGGACGTGTGGAGTGCTGAGAAGGGGAAGCAGACCTACGCCGACGTGCTCAAGGGTTCGATGGAGGAAGTAGGTCGCTGGGTCTGGCAGCCAGAGCCGCAACGCCCACCACCGCAGCGCCCCCAGAGGCCACCTCCACCAAATCAGGCAAGGTACCCTCATCAGCAGAACCAGCAGGCGGGATGGCAGGAAGGTGCTCGTCAGGCTGCTCATCCTCAGGGAGATCCTCGCCCACCACCACCTCGACAGCAGCAGCCGACCCGACAGCATCCTCCGCCGCCACCACCTCGCCAGCAACAGCTACCGCCACCACCCCGTCAGCAGCCGCAGAGACAGGGGGCTCAGCAGGGCAGGGGGCAAGGTATGATGATTCCTGAGAATCTGCCTTTTGTGATTGATCCACGGTATAGAGGCCTGATTTGCTTCAATTGTGGAGAGCCGGGTCACTTCGTGGGTAATTGTACAAGGCCTAAGATATGCTTCATCTGCGCTATAGCGGGTCACCATATGAGAGATTGTCCTGTCTGGAAACTTGATCATCCCACTGCTGCATATGTTGGTAGTGCTAGTTTGGGCTTAGGCTTCTATCATCTGGAGGTTCCAAGTGAGGAGGCTACTTAGTGGCTCAATCTCACTAATTGTGGTGTTGTAAAAGTCAAAACTGGTGCAGTCACCTTATCTGAGTTGGAGAAAGAGTTGTCTGAGATATATTGCAAAGAATGGCTATGGCAGATTAGAGAGCTTGAGCCAGGCAGCTTTCTGGTGAGATTCCCTCCACACAAGAGGGTGGCTGATATCAAGAACTACCCTTCCTTTAACCTCAGAAAGGAGGGAGTTCAAGTTGAGGTCCTAGAATGGTCTAGGGATTTGCCACCATACAGTGTGTTACAAGATGTTTGGGTTCAAATGAGAGGCATTCCCCCCAAAAGGTGCCATTGGAGAGTCTTTGCTCAGATTGCTTCAAGCTTTGGATTGATGGTCGAAGTTGATTGGTCTTCTATCTTCAAGTCATTCTATGAAATGGTTAGGATCAAGGTTACTTGCAAGGATGCCCTCAAGATTCCTTCAGAAAGGCTATATGAGATGAACAAGGAGATTTTTCGGGTCTCTTTTGTGGTTGAGCATGAGGGGGGTGAGGAGCAGCAGGGAGAAAAGGAGGATGGTGGTGATGGTGATGATAAAGGTAACGGCAATGATGAGGAGGCTGATGATTTCAATGATGATGATGATGATGGGGTTGAAAAAGCACCGCCTGAGGAATTTCAAATTGGACAAACCTCTGGCACAAAGACTCCAATCTCTAAACAAAACAAGAATACTGGATACAAGACAGTTGTTGATGCTGTTATCCCGGGTGTTATGAATCAGGAAAAGCAACTGATTGCTCTCATGGGGAACCTGGAAAGTAAAGTATCTGCTGCTGAAGCAAATAAGGATCAGGCTACAACTTCTGGTTGTAAGACTGCCGGGGAATGTTCTGGAGTGAAAGATAGTTCTGGATGCTCGGAGTTGACTCCAGATCCAAAGACGGATAAGTTCGTAACAGAGGTAATTGCAAAGGAGTTAACTCCTATAATTGTTGACACAGGGAAAGATGCTGCTAGTATGGAGGCTCACAAGGTTGTTGACAACTGGGAAACACCAGAACTGGAGCAGAGGATTGACTCCGACTGTTATATAGTGGGAAATAAGTTTCATAGTCTTATCAATGATGAGTCTCACCACTCCAAATGGGAGGAATTCAGGAACCTGGCAAGAGAAGGCGTCTCTGATGAATGCTCTAGGCTGCTTAAGAAAATGGAATTGGAGGACTCTGATGAAGAATATGATTTGCTGGATGATGGTATGGATGAAGGGACACAGGAAGATGCTAATCTCTCTCTGGCTGACTTGGGACTGATACAGGACAAGGGTGAGACTATATCTAATATTCAAGATGAAGCTAAGAAAAATCAGAAAAGAAAACCAAGATGGGGGCCTATAGAGAGAATTCCAAGACCAAGGAGAGGCCAAGATGATGGCCGCACTGTTCTGCAAAAAGCTCAAGATCTGAAAGCAGATAGGAACTTGGAAAAAGGTAAACCACCCAAGTCTTTTGCTTTTGAAAGCAATTCAGATTTACTCTACAAAGCTCAATGCGTGAATATTAGCCTTGGTAGTGATGCTATTGCAGCTAATAAAGTTATTGATAACTTGAAAAATAAAGAGATGCTTACTTGTGAACAATTTAAAGAAGATAACCCTGAGGTTAATCTTCCTAGTAATTTGGATTTAGAAGAATTAGTTTCTGAATTTCCACCTTTGAATGGTGTTGTTCAAACACCTAGAAAAGAGAATGATGCACTGGTTGACCAGTCTTGGGCCCTAGTTGTCTCTACAGGCAAAGGCCCACAAAATAATCAGATAGTTAACAATGATAGGAGCATTTTGGAATGTGAGAGGCCTAAATAAAGAGGGCCGTCTTCAGTGCATTACTGATTTTGTTAATGATAATAAACTTGATTTTGTAGGATTTCAGGAAACTAAAAAAGAATCTTTCAATGGATCTTTTTTGAATTATATTAATAAAGATTTTGTGTGGCATTTTCTCCCTGCCAATGGTACTGCTGGTGGTATCTTGGTGGGTGTAGATGAGAGGAAATTTGAAGTGATAGCTTGGAGAATTGGAAAATATAGTGTGGCTGGTATTATTAGAAATTGTCAGGATAGTTTTGTTTGGAAAATAGTGGTGGTTTATGGCTCCCCTTATGAGGAAGGAAAGTTGGATTTCTTAGCTGAACTAGAAAGACTCCTAGTTAACTGGGATGGTCCAACTGTGCTAGGAGGTGATGTTAGTATCAATCACAGCTAAGGAAAAGAGTAATGGTCAAATAAATCAGAAGTGGGCGGATAGTTTTCAAGACCTAATTAACAAATGGGGCCTGGTGGAGCTTAAAAACTCAACCAGATCTTACACATGGACAAATAATTAGGATAAACCCATTTTGGCAGCCCTGGACAAAATCTTTTGTACTGTTAATTTTGAACAGAGATATCCTCTTGCTTTTGTGACTGCCAAACCTAGAGTAGGAAGTGATCATGTCCCTCTGGTCTTAAACCTGGGAGCGAAAATACCCAAAAAACCAAGTCTCTATAGATTCGAAAAATGGTGGCTTGAGCAACCAGGTTTTAAAGAGTTAGTTAAGAATGTTTGGAGCACACCTTGTGCCTATGATGATCCTTTGGACATCTGGCAATTTAAAACTAGGCTGTTTAGGAAAAAGATCAAAGGTTGGGCTATTAATATTAATGCCAGTATTAGGAAACAGAAGCAAGAACTTCTTAAGGAGTTTGATGATTTGAACATTTTGCAAGAAGAGAGAGGTCTTGATTTGAGAGAGAAGGAGAGGATGAAAAGCATTACTGCTGAGCTTGAAGCTGTGTGGAGGATGGAAGAAATCAAAGCTAAACAAAGGTCTAGGGATAGAAACATCATAGAAGGTGACAAAAATACAGCCTATTTCCAGGCTGTAGCAAACCAACGAAATAGAAAGAAAAAGATCATTGGGTTAGAAAGTCCAGATGGGTGGATTGAGGATGATGATAAGATGCTGAACCATGCAGTGGATTTTTACAAATCACTGTTTGGGCAAGAGGAGTCCAGTGGTGTGAAGTTAGATGATGATTTTTGGATGGAAGATGAAAAGGTGACTTCTGTGGAGAATGACCTGTTAGAGGCCGATTTCTCTGAAGAAGAAACTAAGGAAGCTGTCTTTGGGTCCTATGCGGATGGGCCACCTGGCCCTGATGGCCTCCCTTTCCTCTTCTATCAGGTCTTTTGGGATGTTATTAAAAAAGATTTGATGATGTTAGTTAACAGTTTTGGGAAGGGTCAGTTAGACCTTGATAGACTTAACTATGGCATGATTACTTTGATCCCAAAGGAGCCTGAGGCCAAAATCCTAAAGAAATTTAGGCCTATCAGTTTACTCAATTGCAGTTTTAAGATCTTTGCCAAAATGCTGAATAACAGATTGGTGGTGGTTGCAGATAGATTAATAGCCTCAAACTAAACAGCCTTTATTAAGGCAGATATATACTGGAAAGTGTGGTTGCTGCCCATGAAATTATTCATGAGGTACATAGAAGTAAGGAAGAAGGAGTTATGCTTAAACTTGACTACGAAAAAGCGTATGACAGGGTGAGTTGGAGCTTCCTTGAGGACATGCTAAAGTCTAGAGGGTTTGGGGAAAGATGGATTAGTTGGATTAGGAAAGTGGTAAGAGGTGGCTCCTTATGTATTAGAATGAATGATGAAAACAGTAGTTATTTTAAACCTGGGAAGGGGTTGAGACAGGGGGACCCTTTGTCCCCCCTTTTGTTCAATCTAGTAGCTGATGTATTTTCAAGGATGCTTATGAAAGCTGCCAAACAAAATCTTATAACTGGGCTTCTTCCTCAAGTAATTGATGGAGGTATCATTAGCCTACAATATGCGGATGACACCTTACTGTTTTTAGAGAATAACCTAGAAAAAGCAAGCACTTTAAAGTGGCTGTTGGTTTGCTTCGAGCAAATGTCAGGTATGAAAATTAATTATGACAAAAGTGATCTTCTAACCATAGGCCTAGAAGAAGACGATGCAAACTGCTTTGCAAAGATTTTTTGCTGCAAGAAAAGTGATTTTCCAATAAAATACTTGGGAGTTCCCCTGCACTTTACAAAACTGAGAAAGCAAGATTTGCAACCTGTCATTGACAAAATAATTAAAAGGATAGCTGGATGGAAGGGTAGGCTACTGTCTTATGCAGGGAGACTTACTTTGCTCAAAGCTTGCTTAGCAAGCATCAGCATTTATCTGCTTTCTGTAATCAAGTTTCCAAGATGGGCTATTGACATGATTAATTCTCAAATGGGTTGTGGAATGATAGTGTAGATCATCATAAATATCATCTTGATAGCTGGCAACTAGTCTCTCAGAAAAAAGATGTTGGCGGTCTAGGTATCCCAGATATGAGGAGTTTAAATTTAGCACTCCTAGGTGCTTGGATTTTCAGATATCACCTGAATTCGAATGCTATTTGGAGAAGCATTGTTAATTTCAAATACAAAACTGAAGACCCCAATATGTTGTGCTGCCCAACAGTTGGGGTCTCTCCTTTTTTGGAAAGGAGTACTTTGGGCGGTTCAGGCAGCCCGTATGGGTATTAAGTGGGTGATTGGTAATGGTAGAAAAGTCAGATTCTGGGAAGATATTTGGCTGGGTAACACTAGCCTAGCTACAGTTTATTGGCCTCTATACGTTATTAACGAACAGCAAGGTAAAACTTTACATGAGGTCTGGGATGGGGAAAACCTTATGCTAACCTTCAGAAGATGTGTGTCGACTAGTACTATGAATCTCTGGTTAGAGTTATGTAGTCTGTTGGAGTCAGTTTCCCTCTCTGAAGAGGAAGATCAGATTTTGTGGCATTACACTTCTTCGGGTAAATATTCAGTCCAATCTCTGTACGCTGTGATTAATCACAGGGGGGTCACCCCAATGTTTGTAGGTTCAATTTGGAAGCTTACTATTCCACCAAGGGTGCAGTTCTTCCTTTGGCTCCTCTCTAATAATAGAGTTTTAACAAGAGACAATCTAGGCAAACGCAGGGAAGTGAGTGATCCCACCTGCTTGTTCTGTAGCGAGAAAGAATCGATCTCTCACCTCTTCTTTGAATGTTGTGTTGCTAGAAATATATGGCTTATTATCAGAGAGTTACTGAATCAGGATATAGGGGCTAACTTTGAATCGATTGCTCGGTTTTGGGTGGCAAATAAACGCCACAAGTTTACTAATGTTGTTACTTCATCAGTTATTTGGTCTCTATGGAAGCTGAGAAATGAGATGTGTTTTCAGGGTGTTACATGGACAGGTATGAAAAGAGTGTTGCTGCGGCCTGTCAGGATGGCGAGAAGGTGGGTGCCGCTGCTCAACCCGGAAACTGGACTGCTAGTGGAGGAATTCGCGCAACAGCTGGAGAACAGAGCAAGCTTGCCCCCTCAACTGCAGTGGATGCCGGTCGTGATCAATACATCATCAGGGTGGGATCTATTGGGTGCTCAGCCTTTGGGATCAGTCATTTCGGGTCAGACTAATACGCCGTGTAATGTCAGTAGACCTGAGGTTGTGTCTCAGTTTGGCTTAGAGCCTTGATTTTGGCGGGCGCGCCTATACGCCAGAACTGTAAAACGTCTTTGCTTTTGATAATACAAAAGCGGGGGAAACCCTTTCTTCTAAAAAAATAATTTCCCTGAGATAGAACAAAATATTGTCAAAGCTGTTTAATTGTTCACTAGTGAGAAGCTGCAAGCACCATCATCACTAGTTAGGATACAGTGTCAATAAGCATTGTGTTTCAGAGCTTAACGATATAGCTCCCATAAAGCATAATCAAATGTAAAAAAAGAAATAATACCAACCAGCCCAAACCTTGTGCACAAGCACCCAAAATGGTCAAACGTGATTTATATTATGATGAGAGCCAAATTTCAACATAAACTGCATCTACATTGGGTTCCATGCTGATAGTCAGATTTCAATCAACATGCCCTTGATTGCTATTGGTTTATTATGATTTCCACAAATGTACTACTTAAACATATTTCATAGCAGTAGTATCAACCAAATCACGTTTATTCACTGAAACACATGACTGATCGAAAGGATAAGAAAAAGAAAATAGACCTCTTGTAGCTCTATTTTTGTGCCCATATCTCAACTCATGGCGTGCTGCTTCCTCAAGCTTTTTGCAAGGATCACAAATTCTAACAGGTGAATCACCCTGTCCACGTAAAACCATCCTCTGCTGGGTGCAGCTGCTGCAGAACAATCCCCCACATCTTTGGCAATGGTGCTACATATCAAATACACAAAAGTCAATTGAAGGGCAATTTCAGAAAAACCATTAACATGGAAATGCAAGCATTTAATTTATTGAAACAAACAAGTGAGACATTTTTAGGCAGTAGATTCAAAAGTTTCATAGCAAGCATTTCACTTCATGATTGACCATATTTACAAGCAGCAAATGACTAAAGGAAAAGCATTCCAAGCGGAAAATGACTAAAGGAAAAACAATGGAGAACATGAACCAAACACAGTGATTATAGTTTCTACAATCAACAAATTTATTTAATCAATTTGCTTTGTAGTCCAACATTTCATAAGTTTTGCTAGTGGTGGAGCAAGTAATGTAAATAAGCAGCATATATAAACGAAACTGAACGAAGAAAAATAGAATCTCATGATATAAACCAACCACGACAGTGTACGAGATTATGGAGAAGAACTAAATTAAGCTTTATGGAGGAGGGTGTGTGTGTGTGTGTGTGTGTGGTGGGGTGGGGTGGGGTTCCATTCAGAATATTATCACTGCAAGGGAGGGAAAAAAAACAAGAGATTACCTTCCTAGTAAACAAGGAGAACTGAACAGAACAACCCTGACAGTGGGATGCATCCACCACCCAGGTAGCGCCTCGCATGGACGGCTTCGGCGGCAACCCAATCTTCTCCAACATAGCTGCCTGTGTGGATAAACTCTCTTCTCCCTGCGATCACGGGCGGACCCAGTAAAGGACATGGGTGTACACATGTACACCCAATATTTTTTTGCAAAGCAATCGAAGTTAGTAGGCATATACATACACCTGTAATTAGATTCAGATCCGATTACGAATAGTATGTTAGGGTTTGAGCGCACGGTTTTACCTACGAATTACGTTAAGGTTTGGGCGCACGGCTTCGCACAGCAGGAAGGGAGGATCAAGGCGAGGGAATACCTGCCGTCCTGGTGGTGCTCGTCGCCGGCCAAGGTGGCGAGTGGCGAAGTA